TACAGTGCTCTGGTATACACCTCAGTTGGTTTAAAGATTGTGGATCTGAAATAATACAACAGAAACCCAATATGTCAAAGTACAAAGCAAAAAAATTAACATAGCTGATGGTTAAAAAAAGGCTTTTTTGGTTAATAATAAATAATAAACCTTAATATCATTATAGTATATAGTATATTATTCATAAAAAATAAAAAACTGACAAAAATAAATTAATATTGTCAATTTTCTGAAGTACTAAATGTCATTTGTTCCTTAAGCATTGTCCTTGCTGAAATTAGCTTTCCTGAACCCCTTACAGACAACAGAACTCAACAAAAGTCAAAAGGTAGAAAACAGAATTCCTGATGTTTAATTTCCTCTCATCAGAAAAGGCATGACTAACAGTCAGCAAACTCCAATAGAAGGTCTATTTAATATGAGGTATATCAAACTGGATGGGAGAGCTGAGACTCAACAGAGCAATTAAAATGAGTTCAGAGGAGAGGGAGGTCAGCGAGAGGAAGGGCTAGGAGGTTCCAACACTTGTTTCCCCCACAAAAACAACAAAGACAACACATAAACAACTACAAACCAACAAAAGTAGGGGAAGCTCTGGATAATAATGAAGCACCAAAAACCCCGCAGAGCTCCCAGACCAAGGACGGAGCACAGAAAAGCACAAGAAATATTTTGGCTGCATCGCCTCGTCTCTGGTCCAGAGCAGCTTGGCCCAAGGAGGGATCCCCGTAGAGAAATTCACCCTGTGGGGAAAAGGTGGGGAGAAGCCCAGCACATCACGCTGCAGCCTTTGCTACTGAGGACCCCCTGCTGACGGAGCTGCCCAGAGGACCTGCCACTCCATCCCTTCCTTGGGGCTGGCCCCGTCACTGAGATGAGACCTGTGCCCAACACTCAAGCTGTCTCGGAGTTGCTGCTGTGCGCACTCTCTGAGATCGGGGTCCACCGCGCCTTGCTGTGCAGGTCTGCTGTTGCTCTGCAACCTGCCCCTGGGCCCTAACATGTGGCCTTTCATTTGTTTGGGTTTTTGTTTATTAAATTTATTGGGCTGACATTGGTTAATAAAATATATATAGGTTTCAAGTGCACATTTCTACCGCACCTCATCTGTATATTCTGCTGTTTGCCATTCAAACTCACAGTGGGTAAAGTGGGACAAATACACGGTGATGCATCCTGTGGCTTTAATGGGCCTCCAGCAGGGATGTGCTGCTGCTATTGAGACTAACCGAGGTGGGCGGGGAGGGTGGCCAAGGCTGGGACTCTGACTCACCATCCCCGGGCTGTGCTGGCACTGTACTCTGCCTCCTGGGTCCAAGCCACCACTGTACGCTGTCATCCCAGGACCTGCGCGGCCGCTGCTTCTAGCTCTTCCTCTGCCCCGGCCCACCCAAGTAGCTGCGATGGGCTCCAGACACCCAGATCCTGGCTCCAAAGACCTGCGTATGCCCACACCTTAGACATCAGTGCTGATGATGCTGCAGGTGTACCTGTGCTCAAGGACCCAGGCACTGTGGTAGCTCCAAGTGCAGCTGATCCAAGAACTCCATTCCCCACTGCTCTTTGAGCCAGCATGCCAGACCAAGTGCCAAAAAGGATGCTCTTGGCTATAACTTTCTTCCCCGGGCAAATAAAAGGAGAAAAGGAGGACCCCAGCAGCATTCCCTCTGGGGATCCCCGAAAGCCCAAGCACCCACTGCCACCACAGGATCTCTGAAGCCTTGGCCACAGCCTGCCCCAATGTTGACCTCCGGTAACAGAGCTACAAGAAGACTGGACCACTGTGCTCTCCTATGAACCGAGGACGTTGCAATCCGCCCCGCTGGTGCCCTCACAGCCACCTTTAGGTGAATGTCTTTCCCAGTGAAGCCAGGCTGAAAAGGGTGGACGTGACTGCTCCCTCAAACGCACACATCAACGCAAAACCATCAGGAAAGTGCAAAAGCCAGAAAAGTGACACCCCAAAACAAACGGTAATTTTCAAGTAACTGACCCCCAACAATGAATCTGTGAATTACCTTAAAAAGAATTCAAAATAATCATTTTAAGGGAGTTCAGTGAGATTCAAGGGAGCACAGATAAACAACTCAATGAACTCCGGAAAACAATGCATGAACAAAGCAAGACATTCAACAAACATATAAAAACCATTTAAAAAAACCCCGGAAATTCTAGAATTGTGGAATGAACAAAATGGAAAAAATAAAATGCAATAGAGAGCTTCACCATCAGGATAAATCAGACAGAAGATGAAATCTATATGAAACTGAAGACAGATCTCTTAATATTGTCTAGAGTATAGAAAAGAAATTAGAATGAAAATGAATAAAGAAAACGCACATGAATTATGAGACACCATCATGTGGAACAATACTGTCAACTCTCCATATCCACAGGTTCTACATACACAAATTCAACCAGCTGGCTTAAAATAGGCTGTTACAAGTCTAAGATGTATTAGGAAAGCCTCATGGTAATCAAAAAGCAAAAATCTATAATAGATACACAAATGATAAAAAGAAAGGAACCAAATATACCACTACAAAAAAACCCCAACACCATGAACTCATGAAAAGAACTACAAAACAACCAAAAAACAGTAAGAGATGAGTTCTTACCTATCAAATATTACTGTAAATGTAAATGGCTTAAATTCTCCAATTAAGACTATAGAGTGGTGGAGTGGACATTCAAACAAGACCTAATTATATGCTGCCTATAAGAGACTAACTTAAGCTTTAAGGACACTCATAGGCCAAAAGTGAAGAGATGGAAAAAGATATTCCATGCAAATGGAAAACAAGATAACAGGGGTAGCTATACTTATATCAAACAAAATAGACTTAAAAGCTGTTAACAAGAGACAAAGGTCATTATAAAACAATAAAGAGGTAAATTCATCAAGAGCATGTAACGATTGTAAATATATATGTACCCAGTATCAGAACACCTAAATATATTAAACAATTAACAGATCTGAAGACAGAAACAGACAGTACAACAGAAGAGGACTTCAACACCCCACTTTCAGTAAGAGACACAACATCACCATACAGAAAATCAGTAAGGAAATAATAGACTCGAATGACACTTTCAACCGAATAAACCTAACAGACATAAACAGAATATTCTATCCAACAGCAGCAGAATGCATATTCTTCTCAAGCACACAGAGAACAAAGGAAGTCTCAACAAATTTAAGACTGACATCATAACAAGTAACTTTTCTAACCACAATGGTATGAAACCAGAAGTCAGTAAGTGGAAGAAAGCTGAAAACTTCACAAATATGTAGAAATTAAACAATACCCACCTGAGGAACCAATGAATCAAAGAAAATCAAAAGGGAACTCAAAAAATATCTTAAAACAAAAATTGTATATATACATACACACAATCATATATTATTCAGCCATAAAAAAAGAAAATCCCACAATTTGGGACAATGTAGATGAACATGAAGGGCTAAATGAAATAAGCCAGATGGAGACAGACAAATACTGACTGTATGGTCACTTGTATGTGGAACCTTAAAAAAAAAAGAAGCCAATGTCATAGAAACATAGAATAAAATGGTAGTTGCCAAGCAGCAAGGATGCAGAAGAATGGGATGATGTAAGACAAAAGGTATGAATTTCCAGTCACAAAAAGAGTAAGTTCTGAGGCTCTAAAGTACAACAAGGTGACTGCTTAATTGTACAGTATTATATAATTGGAAGATTCTGAGTAGACTTTAAACATTCTCACCACCAAAAAAAAAAAAAAAAGTAACAATATGAAGTCATCTGTGTTAACTATCTTGATCTTGGTAATCATTTTACTACAATGGGTATCAAAGGATATCGAATGACCACATTTACACTTTAAATATGTAATCTGACAATTATTTCTGCATATAGCCTTAAAAAATGTTAGGACAGCCAAACATCACCAGATAAAATATTTGGTTGAGCCAAAGGATACTGGGAGCTTATAATGTTGGTCTTAACAATAAATACAAAATGAGCTTATTGGTACCTGGGTACTTGGCATACAGAAAAATAGGCAAAGAAATTAACAACCTGACTTAAAAAGAAGAGGAGGGTAGTATATTTCTTTGAGATTCTCAGATTTTCCTCTTGCAATTTCAGCTATTGATGAGCAACTCTGGAAGCTGTGAGAGATAATTAGTTTTGCCATGGCATGAACTTGAATTCTGTAGTAATGTGGCTACAAGGAAAAATCACCTAAGGAGTATGCCAAGGGGACCTCCTGGCCCGCACATTTCAGCAGTGATTTGCTATCCTCTACTCCTCTGCCCTGGCACAGTAAGGATTTGAAGGAAATTCTTTTAAAACTTTCAGGAATACTAAATTATATGGTGATACTTGGGACTTAGAAAAATCTCAGCATATAGTCACTTCACCTGAAGGGTTTACTGTAAAAACCTAAAACAACTTCCTGTTTTACAATAATCCGTATCAGCCTAAGGACACCATATACCCCACCTCTGTGCCTTCTGTTATCTGCTTGTTATTCTTCATTATGCTGATTTGCAACTACTACCCAAGAGAAGAAATTCATTCTTTCAAGAAGCCTACAACCCTGTATATTCTCATATCAAGAAAAATAATTACTCTTTTCCTGTGCATCAGGGCTGAAAAACCTCCATAAAATTCATTTGATTATATCACATAAATCATTTAAATAAAGTCGCATCACAATTATTATTAGAAAGTAAAAGCAGCAAAAATGTCAATGACATTGTTCCATGGAAAAGGACCAATGCCAATGAAATTGTTCATAAAAACTGTAAGGGAAAATTCAATTCTGATAATACGCATTTTCAGCTTCTAAATAGTTTTACTTTCTCAACTCTGTGAACACTTTTCTTTTTTTAGAACTAGTCAAGAATTAACTAGTCAGCAATTTATTGGCCACCCGCTACATAAAATCAGTTTTTAGTAATGAAAACATAAGATCAGGTAGAAAGCATTACTGGACTTTATTAACCTCACAATGTTGAATACAAATGCAAAATTCAGTAGTGATCTTTAAATTTACTTCAAAGCATGGTCTCTTAGATTTAAGAATTAGGGCAGGTATATGCCACAAGGAGGAAGGGAATCAAAAAGCCAAGCCCCCAAACCCCACTGAGTTTACCTGTGTATTATAAAATCTGAGGTACAGCCCTTAGATTCCTTTAAATGGTACTGTCTTCTGATTTTCCATTAAAAGCGTTGGTACTGAATTTTTAATGAGACCCTATAATCTTCACAAGTCTTCCAATTATGAATTGAAAAGAAACACAGATATGTGTACCAAGTACTTTATGAAATTTAACATATAGCTGGACTTCACATATAAACTTCAAAAATCAATAGGACTATAATATTCTTAAAACCCAAAGGCTAGATAAGGTCCGCCTTCCAATCTTTTCTACATTTTAAGAAATAATTTGATCTAATGATGTTAATATAGAAATACATTATACATATTCTAACATCAATAAGAAATGACATTCAAAGAAGAGCCAATAAACCTTTGCATTTAAAACCAAAAGGAACACATCTTGGACATCTTAAATTATAAAACCTGGTTCTAAGCAGGAACTATTACGGTGTAACAAATACTGCTCATATAAAAGTGCTGGTGACAATTCAATATGTCTTCTCCACAGAATCTGTTCATATATATGTATCTAGAGCTGTAATAAGATTTTATGTTTAAGGTGCTTAAATTTTGCACTGCAGTAAGTATTCATATGCTGCTTCTCCGTAGCAACTCCAGTCAATGATCCAGGGGCAAAAAGGCAAAAATACTGTTATTTTCTAGAATGTGGCATTTGTGGAGGTGGAGTGCCCTCTATTGGTAATGACGAGGACACACTCATCAGCTGTCCTGCATGCATTTTCTCATTAATTCGGAGTTCACATCCATCCTGAAGCATTCGGACGGCTATGCGGGCAATGTTCTTAGAGTCATCAAGACCACTGTGAGGCCGCCCATCATAATCCATCCCTAGTTTTTCAAGCATTATTGTCAGTTTGGTTTGGCTTCGAGGAACCTGAAAAATAAAACACATAGTAAATAAGTCTTTAGTAAGTAACTGTAGAAAAATAAGAAACTGTAAATTAACAATAATAACTAAATAAAGTTAAGTAAAGAGCAAATTTTTCTGGTTAATTAAAGCAAATAACTAACTCAAAGCTCCAGGGCTTTAGTGTTGCTTATGAAAATATTTATCAACAAATGGAATCCTCAAGACATCTAAAAAATTTGGAGTTTTGTAATATAACTAACCATTTATGAAAGGAAGCATGTTGTTCTTCTAAATCGAAGCTCTACCATTTAACACAAACTAAGTCTTTTTTGTATGCTATTTTTCTGTAATGTATTATTTTACTTGACTGACTCCTTAGAGACACAAAAATATTTCACATTTCTAGATGAAAGATAATGAAGATCCAAAATGAAAGACAATGTCATGTGGTATTTTTCAACCTATTTAAATACCAGCTCCATTTTAATAAATATAAAAATCTCCCCAAATTTCACTTTTGAGAACCACTATTCTATCTTCAGTATATCCTTACTAGAATGAAGATTTCTTAAGTTTTACATTCTGGCCCTGGCTGCTGTGGCTCAGGGGACTGAGCATCAGCCTGTGAACCAAGAGGTCACCAGTTCAATTCCCTGTCAAGGCACATGCCTGGGTCATGGGCCAGATCCCCAGCTGGCGGCATGCGGGAGGCACCCAACCAATGTTTCTCTCATACATTGATGTTCTTCTCCCTCCTTTCCCCTCTTTCTAAAAATAAATAAATAAAATCTTTTTTTAAAAGGGTTTACATTCTGTAGTTTGAACAGCTGTATCACCTACATATCTTAGAACTTCAGCTTCTTCCTCTTTACAATGAGAATAATGGCTGCACTATTTACTCACTGGGTTATGAGGAGAATCACAAAGCAAAGGATATAAAAGAATATACTTCTAAAAATAACTCTTCCAGGAGCATGTGAGACCTTGCTCTCTGGCATTGTCATCAGTTTGCCTCAAACAAACTAAAAAACTCAAAAAATATATAAATAAAAATAACTTTCCAACACATTAAAGGACTTAAGTGAAACAGACTGTTTCTAGAAATATACAACCTACCAAAACTGAATCATGAAGAAAACATAAAATCTAAACAGACTTACAATAAGAAAGGAAGACTGAATCAGTAATCAAAAACATCCTCCAAAGAAAAGCCCAGAACCAGTTGGCATCACTGGTGAATTCCAAAAAACATTTAAAGAAGAATTAACATCAATCCTTCTCAAACTCTTATAAAAACTGAATAGAAAGGAAGACTTCCTAACTGATTCAATGAGATCAGCATTACCCTGATACCAAAATCAGACAAAGATGCCACAAGAAAACTACAGACTAATATCCCTTATGATTACCTATGCAAAAATTCTCAATAGTACTAGCAAACTGAATTCAGTAGCACATTAAATGATTTATATAACAGAATGTTCTTGTAAACCAAAAGGTCGCAGGTTCAATTCCTGGTCAGGGCACATGCCTGGGATGTGGGTGTGCATGTAAGAGGAGGCTGACTGCTGTTTCTCTCTCAAATTGGTACTTCCCTCCCTTCCCATCTCTCTAAAATCAGTAAGCATGTCCTTGGGTGAAGATTAAGAAAAGCGGTATATACGTACCATAGAATACTACTTGGCCTTAAAAAGGAAATTCTCAAACAATGGAATATTATTTAGCCTTACAGAGGAAATACATTCTGACAAAATGCTTCATGTATTGTATGAACCCTAAAGACTTTAAGCTAAGTGAAATAAGCCAGTCACAAAAGAACAAATACAGCAATTTGATAGACTCAGAAAGTAGAATGGTGGTTGCCAGAAGCTGGAGAGAGGGGGCAAGGGGACTCGCTGTTTAATGAGAACAAAGGCTTAGTTCCGGGAGATGGATGAGTTCTGGAGATGGACGGCGGTGACAGCCATGAGTTTAAAACTGTTGAAACGAGGCAATGGAGGTTCATTGCACCTTCTTACTTTTGAGTGTGTCTCTAAGTTTTCATAACTTGTTTTTTAAAGAAAGCAGTTTTCTTTTTCTTTTTTATTTTAGAGAGGGGTAAGGAGGAAGAAGAAGAGGGAGAGAAACATCGATGTGAGAGAGAAAAGAAACATCAATTGGTTGCCAACCAGGGAGCAAACCCATAACCTAGGCACGTGCTCTGACTGGGAATCAAAATGGGGACCTTTTGGTTTGCAGGACAATGCCCAACCAACTGAGCCACACCAGCCAGGCAAGAGAGCATTTTTCATAGTGTGTTTAAGAAATCAAAAATGAGTAAAAAAAATAAATCCAAAAAAAAGAAAAAAATATTTACCAAATCTAATCAAAGGACCGGTATCAAAAATAAAGATCTATAAACCAACTAACTACAAAAGGAAAAACTACCCAATTTTCTAAGAATGGGTAGAAAATTTAAATAGGGACTCCATAAAAGAAATCCAAATGGCTAGTAATCGTAAGAGAAGCTCAATCTCATGAGTAATTAGGCAAATGCAAACTAGAACCTCTCTGTAAGAGACATTCATCAGATTTACAAACAGTTTAAATGTCTGCTCATACCAGATGGTGGCAAAGACATGGAGCAACCGTCAATTCACACATTCTGCAGGTGAGAGCACACACTGACACAACCCCTCGGGAGACCTGTCTGCGCTATCTAGCGATGTCGACGGTGCGCATGTCCTACAACCCACCAATCGCACTCCGAGGTTTAGACCCTGGAGAAACGAGTGCACAGAGGCACCAGCACACACGCACAAGAAGGCTTACAGCAGCACTGTTCTTAAAGTCTCAAACTGGAATGCACCCAAGTGACCAAGTAGACCAGATAACCTCGGGTATATTCACACAATGGAAATCTACACAGCAATAAAATAAATGAGCTACAGCTATATACACAGCATAGATACATCTCAAACATAAAGTTGCAGGAAAAAAAGCAAAATAAACAAAACAGCCCGTATCATGCTAATTATGTTCAAAATAGGCAAAACCTATCTATATAAGGATAAACATAAATATTGAAGCTACACCAAAAAGCAAGAAAGATTCCCATTAAAAGTATGGATTATGGGGACTCTGGGAGGAAGGAAGGGGATTGAATGAGTGGAAATTACAAGGGATTTCACTTTAAAACAATCTGTCAAACTCCACTCTTCTGTATTCATAGTTCTCAGTTTTAAGAAATGTTAAACCCACAAAGAAAAGTTTTCCAAAAAACTTTTCTCTTGAACCTACTTTAGGATGCACTTCACCAAAATTAAGTAGTAAAGGAAGAAAGATGGCACAAGATCTAACACATGACAGCGAAGAAAAGGAAATCTCCTAGGTGATTTTAGAAGCCTGAATAGCAAATAGTTCTGATCAGAACAGGATTAAAGGCTCCAGGTATTCCTCAGAGGAAAAAAAACAAAAACAAAAACTGACAGACTACCTGAACAGCTCTGAGTACAGATACTGAGATGTGATTTACAGTTTGAATGGAAAGGAACAGGATAAGAACACTGAAGAAGTCAATTATTAATTCTGAGGGGAGGCCGTGAACACTCTCCATCCCTGTAGGATCGTGTACACCGGATGATGATTTAATTGTAGAGGTAATGTGAAGATGCAGGGGGGAGAAGGGCACGCAGGAATGGTGGTTTGTCAAGAGCCAAACCTTCAACTTCCACTGCAGGACCTTATGAGATCTCAAACTGAAATTCAAGAAATAGCATAAACATGTAATTTAGAAATATTAAGGTAAACATTAGAAGAAATAGCCTTAAAAAGTTGAAAGCATTTGCTTCAGGAGAACATAAACCAGAATTGGTGAAGGCCATGGGGGAAGACTGCCAATTAGTATAAGCTCTGCAAAGATATTTTAAAAATTTACAATGCACACATATTAAGTTTGATAACATTCAAGTTCAGTGGAGATTAATTGTCCTATAAACAATCCACAAATTGAATAGTTCTGCAGTTTCAAACCTGTTATTGAAGATCAAGTTAACCTACTTAAGAAACAGGTTAAATGAGAAAAACAGCTTATCTTTCTAAACTCAGGTGAACATAACTAGTTTGGAATCTGAGAAGTAACAATTACATGGTGTTTTTCTGCGAAAGTGGATCACAACTTAATGTGCATGCAAAATATAACAAATGTATCAAGAGCATAAGAGTATAATCAACAAAATATAGAAATTTTACCTTGTAAAAGTTTCCATATGACTTTCGAATATTGATCCACTTTTTAGCGAAAGGAGGATATTTGAGCCTGCTGAGCTGGCATTGAATGTTCAGGAACTTACTCATATCCCAAGAACTTATAAATCAAAAACAGGAAAAAAATGGATTAAAATAAATGCTATACTATTCTTATAAATGAGTATTTTAAGTCATTCAATTTTTTATTTAAACATGTCCCTTTTCTCAAACAGCAAGCTTAAAAAATTAAAATCTCTTCCTCTAAAAATACTGATTCAAAAATAAGCTTTAAATAACAAAAAATAAATTGGATATATTAATTTTTTCCCACAAACTAATTCTTATTAGGCTCATCTCAATTACTTCTGTGGTTCTGATTATCTGGGCAAACCTCTACCTTGTTGAGTATTGTTTCATAATTCTAAAATAACTCTGCTAAGCTTATTTTAATGCCAAGTTTATCATATCAAGAAGTTCATTAAAGGTATATTTGGAAATAAACCAAAAGTTTAATAAAATACATGAAAGAAACAAAAGGAACTAGTATCAAGTAGTTAGAATACAATTTGTTCTGCTACAGTATTTGTTTCTATAACACCAATCAACCTATGTCATTTAATAGGATAATACGGACTGTATAATGGGGAAATTGTGTTGGTTCCACATATGGACTTTCCTAGCCAAAGGGAGTCAGAATAATAGCAATCAAACTTACAACCTTCAGCAGCAAAGAAAAAAGCTCTCAAATAGCTACTGTAGTGGCAACAGGGCAGTAGTTGATTTGAGTTAAAATTGAAGTGTCTTTTAAGAAAATTAAAAACAACTGCCTGTCCCCAGGATGCTGCTGCTTCCATGCGTCTGTAATATCCTCTGAGGCAACTTTCACCCACCCTGAGATGCTTGCCTGGGCTGTCTGAACTATATCCGAACCAATACTGTTGTCCCATTACAAAATTGCACTGGTTTCGAATGGTCTGTCTCAGAGTGTGAGATTTTTACCGAATGCCACATACTGTTTTACACCAAAAGTACCTCTATACTTTAGCAGGAATATTGCTCATTTGTGTTTGAAATCAACATGAGATTTCTAAAGAGGTCCATCAATATTTTCCCAAATGTCCATTTTTAAACACAATTACAATTGTGATTAAATTCAATGCTCTTTCCCTATTGTGCATGAGGGTCTCTAAATCCTTGATGTAGGTGACATCATAGCTGCAGTGTACAAACTGTTCATAGTATGAAAAAGAAGTTGATTAGGACTCTCTTCCTGACCCTTAACAGCATTATGGGAGACGAGCTACCTTGGCACAATGCTTGTTTTGATGTTTCTCATCTTTCCCCTTAGTCTTTCATTTCCCAAATGCTCTCTAAGCACCCATTTTGAACTCAGCACTGCAGGAAGCATTATATGAAAGACTTCCAGTAACAAAAGTCTCTGCTCTAAAAGGATTTTTATCTCTTTGCACAAATGTCTTACCATACATGAAGTTTAGACATCAGAATATTTAGTCAAATGCCATCATGAATGATACATGTCAGAGAAGCTATTTTATGACTTCAAGGGAAAAAAATCCAATGTGAATTGTAGTGTCCAGAGTAAAGCATGAGATGGGCTTTGAAGCAGTCGAGCAAGAGAGCCTTCCAGAAGAGAGGAAGGCATGAGTAAATACATACAGGAGAAGCCGTGTGATTCACAGGCCAGCCTGGCTGCAGTGAAAGAATAGTGGCAGGTAGCTTAGGCTACACAAGTTGGGTTAGATTAGTTGAGGGGATCCCAAAAGCAAGACTGAAGAGTTTGGACTTTTCTGAGAATGTAAGTGTCCTGATGAAAACAGAGTTTTAATTTTACATATTAATATTTATCTTTCTCTAGTCTTCCAGTCCTGGATTAGACTGCTATCATTGCTTTCTTCCTTTGATACCTAGGATTCAAATTTAACTAAGAACAAGAATACAAAAGGAAAAATACTGTCTCTTTTAATAAATAATATTTTTTGTGGTTATTCTAAAAGGTAAATGAGGACATCTTTAATATTAACAAGTAGATAAAAAGAGAGTTTTCCTACTTACCCATCTGTTAATATGCAATACTTATACTTTGTTCCTAATTCCTTTAATTTCATCCAGTCAATTACTTTTTTCAGTACCTGAGGGAAGGTATCAGCTCTGTCTACCTGATCCTGGGGATATAAATAAAATATATAAAAATCAGTAGGTACATGTAGTCCTACTAAATACCCAGACACAAACATTGGCTGGAAAGCAACAGGAAAAGAAAGTCTTATCTATGATGTTTTAAATTCTTCATGGTTTCCTTGGCTGAGATACATCTTACGATTCATTAAGGCTATTAAAAAATTGTTTAGAGCCGAGTATTAGGGACTGCTTTCAAGTGTGGCACATAATCCCCCCAAAGTCAAGATTCAGGATCATCCCCGATGGTTCTCCTTTTGCAGGCCTCGACCCAGTGCCCTACCAATAAAAGGAAATCTCGTTCTGCTGAAAGCCACAGCCCTCTGTAGTCATCTCTCTAATCTTCAAAGCTCACACCTTTCTACCACAGACTACATACAACTGCTAAACTGATCTTCTTCAAATGTAAATCATATCCAAACTTAAAATCCTTTCAAACACTCCCCAAGCTTTTAGTATTAAAAAAACATGCACGCATCTTCATGAGCTGGCTCGCCTCAGCCTACGATTCTAGCCTGAGTTATGACCATGTGCCTTGAACCATCCCAAGCTACTTCCGGCTCTGCCGTCCACACCTGAAATGCCCAGGCATTCTTTTCCACCTATTGACCTATCGTGACTCAGCCCAGTTCACCAACGTGAGAAATTTTTCCCAGGACAGCCCTGTCCCAGGAAGCCGTTTTTTCAGATGCCTATGATATATCACGATGAAACACTGAATGACTTCTCAGCCTTCCTCATCACATTGGGATCACTGGTTTATTCTGTGTCCTCCTGAACATGGATTGTTAACCAACTTGGAGAGACTGACTTGACCATCTTTGTATCCTTAGTACCTTGGCAAATATCATAGCAGGCGCTCAAATATTTGTTGAGAGAGTGAACGAACGAATAAATTAATTAATAAAGGAACTAAATAAATGAACAACGGGCCTGCCACATTAGAATACAACCAAAAATCAGAGACCTAAAAAATTAAACTATACTGCATATAAAGTCAGGTTGAGAACAGATTTTAAAACCTTAGCTCTAAGTTCAGCACAGTAACAACACTTGTTTTATGAACATTCCAGGCAAACGAACCTTTAGATTCATCACTACAGCTCCTTAAGAGGAAAAGCTGAGAAAAATTTTACTAGATGTAAAATTTCCTTTTATATTTCTTAAAAATTTCACTATGAAAGATCTTTACAAAGCAAGCAAAGTATTGTATTAACTTAAATTGTTTACAGCACTAATTTGTTAAAACTATGAAATAAATCACTAATTTCAAAACTTCTTTCAAACTCCTGAAAAAGGAACGTTAAGATTTTAACCTGAGTAATTCCAGTTAGATTGATGCAGAAATCAGAAAGCTGTGTGTTAATCTCTGGTCTCACATACTGCTGAAACGTATCCTCCTACAAGGGAAAGACAGCAAGTTAACACATTTCCTATGACTTAAGGTAGGTGGCACATGATACATGACAAATTCAGCCACGCGAGACTATAATTCCACAAGTGTTCATGGCACAAAACTTGTACAGCTTTAACAACTGAAGGGTAACTCCCTACTCCCAAAGCACTCTGATTTTTCCCCCTTATAATCCATTTTAATTAAGACAGCTCTTTGATAAATTCTCCAGAAGCACTCTTGATTCTTTAATTAAAAAAATGTTTCAAAGTTTAAAAAATTTTACAGAAAATCAAGTGTCTGTCTGCAAGTAGGCCGGCAAACAAAGTTTAAACAAGCATTTTCCTGAGCAGCAAAATGGTAAAAATTTTGTTTATGTTTTGAAACTGTAAAGCTTATTAAAAGCAACCTCTACTTCCAGATTCTAAAAGGCCTTCAAATAATAATAAATTAGTTCAAAGACCAGTCTTTGGTTATAATAAATTAGCTCCAGATCACTGCTCTCATTTACTCCCGAATAGTCCTTCTTATTATATTAAAATTCCATTAAACTGAATTCTAAATAGTCAATATTTGACTGTATGATATCTATGTATGCATCTATGATACCTAGTAGTTTAAAGGATGATAATGGTTTTTTTTCTGTTTGTTTCAGCAGTTTTGAACCTCTTCCAGAACCTTCCTGGCTTGCCTTTTCATGCTCACAGGATCGCTGTGATCTCAGCACAGCCAGTACTGTCATCTTCAGGCTCAGATCTCCTAGCACTTTTACCTCCGGGTCTATTGCCTCCCCAAACCAGGTCACGCTAAGTCACTTGTTAAAAATTAAGGACCATTTCAAAGCCTAAAGATGTATAGGCAGAAACTGTTAATACTAGGTAGACAGGGAGAAAAAGACAAATACTCTTTGTGGTAGATTAAAAAATTAAGAAACTAAAGTTAAAAAAAGAAAAGTAAAATTTTTCTAAGAATAATTATTTTTACACTATAGTGTATTAGGCAAGATGAATTATAAATATTTACTAACAATTGTAAAAGAGCAAAAGTAAAGAAGAGCAAAGAACATCTGCACTTTAAAACTTAGATGCTCCTGTCGTGGCCAGCTGGCTCCACTGGTGGGAGCACCACCCCATACACCAAAAGGCGGAGGGTTTGATCCCAGGCGGTGTGTGTTCAGGAAACAACCTAAGGTGTGTTCAGGCGACAACCAATCGATATTTTCTCACATTGATGTTTCTCTCTCTCCCACCCCTTCCCCTCTCTCTAAAATCAATAAACTTATCCTTGGGTGAGGAGAAAAAGTTTTTTTTAAACTTAGATCCTCTTTACTTACAAGACATACTGCAAAAGAAAAAAAATTCTACTTAATTGAATTTCATAAATCAGTGAAGTCTATCTTCTAAGTATCGGTATTTTGTTTCATAATTTTAAACAAAAATCTTTCAAAAATATGCTTCAACTTCACTTATCATTACATGCAGGTGATACTAAGTGTAACACTGATAAAATTTTGCTATTTAATACTTTTAGTAGAATGATGCTATAGAGAGGTACGCATTCATTGGCCAAATGTTTAATTAATACTTCAATAGCTTACATAGTTAAAATGTGAGGAGAATTATTAGAAAACAGAGTAGGTAAGAGGTATCAGAAACACTGGGTGTGTGGCAGAGTCTACGCTACACTATTAAACAGGTAACCCAGTCAGGCTTTATTTAGGTTAGAGGACAGGGATGAAAGGCATTAGCAGCAAACCCTCTGGAAGAAAGGAATTACATAAAGCCTGGGAGGTGACGGGGACGGAGCACGTGTGGTGTTTCCTGAGAAACAGCAAGCATGTCAATATGGCACAATCCGAGGCAGCAAGAAGACAGATCATACAAGAAATATGACTTTTGCTGAGTTAGTTGGGGGGGCCACTGAAGGGTTATGAGCAGAGAAATGAAATGGTCTGACCTACATTTTATAAGAATCATCTGGACACTATGCTGAGAACTGGCTGTGGGGGACAGGGACAGAGACACAAAAACAGAAACCAGTTAGCTGGTGAATGGAGGAAATCCAACAAGAACTGACTGGGACTCCATTCTGGTTATATTCTGAAAGCAGAACCAACAGGAGTCGCTGTTGGTCTAGATGCGTGATATGAGAGAAACGTAAGTATCGAGGATGATACCAAGGTTCTGAACTGAGCAATTAGACAGAGCTGCCATCACTCAAGCCAGGGTAGGCTGAAGATAAAATGGGTAATTCACGGTGAATTCAATATGAAACTTGTTAAGATGTCTGTTTAGATGTCTAAGAAAGATGTTAAGTAAGGAGTCTAGATTTGGAACAGAGGTCCAGATTGGACATATGTATTTATTTGGGAGTCATCAGTATGCAGCTTCTAAAGCTAAGGAACAAGATGATAGATGAAATCATTAAAGAAGAGGACCTGCACTGGAACTTGGGGCATCCAATATTAGGAAGCGGGGAAGAAAAGAAGGAACCAGAAAGGCAGTTGCAAAAGGTAATATAGTGAAGCTGGAGAAAAATCAAGAGAATGAGGTGTCCTGGCAGTCAGTCACAAAGAAAGTCTTTCAAGAAGGGCGTGGTTAGCTTTACCAGGATGTAGGTAAAGGTCAAGGGTGACAATGACTACTAATATTAGTGTAGGGATAGGATTGAATACATTATTTAAACCTACAGTGGTGTGGGTTTAAGAGAGAATGGGAAGAAAACAGACAGAAATATATATAACTTTTTCAAAGAAATTTGCCATAGAGAAACAAAGAAATAGGGTAGCTGGCAGGGAAGTGGGATCAAGTGAAGGTTTTTTATATTGTGAAAAACTACAACATCCCTGCATATGATGGGGACAATATAGAAGAAAAGCAATAAATCATTAATGTCTAAATGAGGGAGAAGAATTGCGAGGACAATGTCCTGAGTAAGATAGAAAGTAGGATCTAGTGAGATATGGAAGATTATCTGCCTTCATAGTTCATTTTTCCTTTTGACTTATTTACGTTTAATGCGCTTTGGACATGTAAATTAAATAAATAGGGTGATTAAAAATATAACTAAATGAGGCTCTGAAGAACACTAAAAAAATTTTAAAAACCTATGCATTTTAATGTATAAAGCCTTTTTATATTTACTTCCAATTTGTTGGGAGTAACTTTGGATAAAGAGATGTTATGATACATCCTCACTCAGATGTTACAAGACAGAGAGTATTGTTTTGGAGAATTCCCGGTGACTTCTTGAACTAGCGGCTTGACAACTAGTACCTAAAGCATATATATATATATATATATACACACACACACACACACACACACACACACACACATTTTACAGTATATAATACTGTAAAACGGCCAGTTTTAAGTTGAAAGGTGATTTTTTTAGACATCAAAGCACACATTAGTCTGTAGTGGTGGTTCTCAACCCTGATTGTGTATCAACTGAGAAGCTTTTCAAACCTGCTGATGTCAGGGGCCCCAGCACAGAACAACTGACCCAGAATCTCTGGGATGAGGGCCAGGCATCAGCATTTTTGTCCCGACAACCCAGGAGGTTCTGATGTCCAGCCAGATATGTGTTCTAAGCAAACAGAAAAAAAAAAACCCACTATAATTTTAGCTACTGGAAAAGGAGAAAAGCAGACTCTGAAATTACTTTATTACAGCTTGTCTATCAATCAAGCGGACATAAAGCACACGGCAAGGACAAAAAGCCTACTTCAGAATTCTCATTCTCTCTGAACCTGCAGCTGAGATCCTCTGCCTTATTTATTAACCAGCCCCAGGAGAGCTGCTGCTGAAAATAAAATTAAAATACAACAATTCACTTACTATTTCTAAGGTATGAGTATTCAGTAAAACGACAGGAAATTCAATTATTTCATGTAAGAACTCAGGTGGGTTACCCTCTTCACAAGTGGCTTCAAAGTCAATAATACAAATGTAGTCATAGTAACTGTCGGCACAGTTGTCCTCTTTCAACATCAGCTTCTGCTTCTTATAATAGTTTTTCAGCCTCTTCTTTAGTACATCCTTTACACCTCTAGGGAAAATAATAAAATTAACTCTTAGGTGCATTTCATAGCCAAGAACCTGAACTCTTACCTGCTGTCACTGGCAGTCACAGCATAATTTAGCAAATGTTAGCTAAAATGAATGTAAAGGAAACAAGACTCAAAGCTAATTGAGCAAAGTACTAATTAAAATACCACGTTTGATAGAGAATTACTATTTTCCTTCACAAGTAACTTTTCATTTTTGTGGTACATAAGGGCATTGTCTGCAATGTACACCATACACCACCTACACAGCTGCATTGCTTTGAAGACTCAGATGACACACATGACCCAAAAACTGAAATCAATAGTGAATTATTCTATTGGCGACATGTGAAAATTCAGATAAATTAAACATTTTTAATTAATAGAAAAATTTCCCTGGTTGTTCTAAGTAGGTAACAGTGGCTGATAAAGGTGGTCATGTTCTTCAAACAGCATCTATTTCTTCAAAAAAAATTGAGAGCAACAACCAGTGCTCAGACTTCCTTCAGGACTTATTTGGCTGAGTCCGATAATGCCTTGCAAATACAAATGGTGGTAAAAGTAACATCTTATTAATTTATGTGTAGTGACAAGTATGGCATTTTGGTCACAGCACCGATTAGTGACTATTAAAAAAAATATATTTGCAATCTTTTGTTTTCCTTTCTAAACTACCATTGAAAGGCAATCCTATCCATAAAAATACTGATGATTAACCAGTAGTTAGTTGTTTTAAGACAAAATGTCTTAATATATTTATTTGCTTGAGATTTTCAAAATTACCAAAACCTAGCAAGGAAACCCCATAAGTCTTTTTCATATTAAGCTATTGTGAGTGTCCTCTGTGTCACGTGACAGCTTTGAATTCCTCTTAGTTTCTTTCTTTTTTTGGAGAAACCATGTTTTACTAAAAGGTTGCCTGTAAACCTACGGGCAGTACAAATGTTTAACAAGTTGCTCCTGAAACTTGTGTCTTTTACATCTCCCTGTCCCTCCACAATCAAACCATCACCATTTCTGCCAATGCCAACTCAGAAAAACATTCAGACTCTGGGTCTCCTTAATTCTCTCTGGTATGGTTCCCATTAGCTTCCTGGACTATGGTAAATGCCTCCACTATCACAACCTTCCTATTCCTTCTTTACGGTACTTGAGAACTAAGCACTAGTGCCAAGTTCCTGCGGAAAATACCTTCAGTGCCTCCCTTCTGCTTACAAAGTAAAACGTAAGACTTTAGACTCTAGTTCTTTCACAACTTAGCTATGACCTATCATTTCAGTGTAATCTTCAGAAGCTCCCACTCCCCATGGAACATCACATACTACAGACAAAACATGCTACAAGTCATTGCCTGAATATGTGGTATACTTTCATGTTCTACAACTTTGGGTGCACAACAGCTTAAGAAAAAGAAAAATCATGTAGCAAGAAACATATAAACAGAAATTAGGAGTTTTGAGTTCTTTCTGCCTGTAATAGAGCTGTTTGGCACATCAATTCAAATGCTACCCTGAATCCCCAAGAGAGTTCTCTCGTGTATTCTCATGCTGTACATGGCCAGCTTGTATAGCACTGGTCACTCTGCATTGTGATTATTTGTCCGTGTATTTTCCCAAAAGACCATGAGTTTTACAAAGTGGGGAATAGATCTGTTCTACCTTTACAACTGTAATGCCTAGTGTAGTGCTTAGAATTCAGTGAGTGCTTGTTGAATAAATGTATAAATATACATCTAGATCTCTAGTTCTCATGCAAATCAGGAGTAAGCAATTGTTCTTCACACCTAGGAAGGACAAAAATTTTGCTCAGAAAAGCCACAGGCTACAGGTTGTTATCTTCATAATAGAAAGAGTTAAGGGAAAATGAAGTAAAAATTTTCTTCACAAATTAAGATGTAGACAAACTAAAAGAAAAAATACATGTGTACTCTTTTAAAAAGTAGTAAAAACTCTATTTTAAAGGAAAGAGCAATAATCCTTAACAGAGAAGAAGGATTCAGGGATAGCTAAAAACAATAACAGTTTTCATCTATTGTATGTAGTCAATTTTTTTTTTTTGATGCCCAGAAGTTCTATTGCCCATCAACAATCTTCATGTTTTTCTGGATTCCAAAGGTCATTCCTGTCCCACATCCCAAGTGAAAAAAATTTGTTTTGCAAAAAAAGAACTAATAAAATCTTAAGTATGTATTCATCTGACTAAAGACACACACACACAGAGTTGAGTAAGCTGCACTGAACTCTCATTCCATATACAGTTAAACATAATGCATACTATTATTCTGCATATTTTTAGAAACCAAAACAGGGAAAAAATACTTTATGATAGGTAAATGACTTTTTAAAATAATCTGGTTTCAAAGAAACCTTCCTTATAAAATGCGAATGGACAAAAGAAAACATTCAATGTCATTAATAAAATATTATCCTGCAACCAAAGGAGCAACTAAAAAAATTTAAAACATAATTAACATAGTAAGATAGATATTCCTTTACATTGCTGGTATACTCAAAAAATTAAGAGACTTTGACTCCTCAGTCCTAGTCTATCATGTAACAGACTGAGAGAAAAAATATCAGAGCTGCACACAAAGATTCATGTACAAGACTGTAAGTTACAGTTGTTATTTGAATTGATAATAATGGTTATTTCTTGATGGTTAGATTATAGATTATTTTAATTTTTTCAGTGTTTTCAAGATTTTCTAGGATGAGCATGTACTACTTTTATAATTTTAAAAAAAGTTATTTTTATTTACCTGGTTTCAAGTTTGAATTCTGAAAGTTTAGCTCTGAGTTCTTCCTTACTCATTCTATTAATACAACCATTTGTAATAGCAATCTCTTTGTAAACTGGGTCACTGAAATCACTTGAATTGGAGGTAATGAATTTAGATCCTTTTGTTTCTTGACCATCAAATCTACATCGCTGCTTTTTCTACCAAAAAAAGAAAAAGAAAAAGTTTAAAATTAGTACAAAGATCTTAATGAATCAAACTCCTGAGGACGGCATCTCTTTGTGCTCCATGTTCAATGAAAAATGCCTGTGGTCACTACTGGAGGGAAGGCAGGATAGGAAGAGATGTGTTTCCAATACAACGGACCCTGTTCTCTTCTGAGTCAAGAAGTTCCTTGTAACAATGAAGCTATGTAAAAAGAGCACTGATATTGAGAGTCACAGCCACTTCAATACAGAGCCACAGCTGACCATTTACCAGCAGCATGACCTTGGGTAGTTCTAATTAACCTCTGATCTTCCACTTGCTTATCTATAGAGCAAACCATAATTGTCTCAAATGGCATAAGGTTATTATAAGTGTTAAATGAGATTATGTATAGCAGGCTCCTAATACCATATCCACCATGGCTATTAATGTTAATAAATGATAATTTTACTTGTTACCACCAGACAAGAGATCTTCTGATGAACAGTACTCTACAATTTACAAACTACTTTTAAATGAATCTTTACAACATTATGCATGTATAAATAAGTGACTTCTTGAGAATTTTTTCACCTGACTTCCTTTCACAAAGCTAACAAATTGCCAAATATAAAAATAAAATGAACTAGTAATCTAGTTCAAAATTTCCTAGTACTCTAGGCAAAGAAAATATATTCAGTTTCAAACACACAATTTCCAAAAGTCAAATATAACAATTATTCACAATAACTGTATTACTATGTTATAAACCTTTTCTCTTTTCTGAAATCAAAATGTGTTTAAAAAAAAAAGACTTAATTTTAATCATTCCACACGTAGTCCCAATATACTAAGATGCTGCTTCAAAGATTCATTTATAAGTTAATTATTTTCCACATGCAATGTTACAAATATTAGGGATGTTCCAGTTTTCAAAAATACTTTGGTACTTGCTATTAATCTATATTAAAACTTGTTAACTTAGTCATAACTTACCACATTGTCCCATGTGATTTAATTATAGATTAAGGGGGATAACCAGGAAAAGGCCACAGTCCCTGACTCAGAACTGATCATGAAGGTTCAGGGACTATTTCTCACTATAAGTTCTCAATTTAATTCAACATACATTTACTAGAAATGTAATGCTAGGTCCTGTGTGCTAGAATACTCAAGAATTTCTCCCATATCATCTGAAGAAGGGGCCAGCAATTCTAACATGCAAATTGTCCATAATAACTAGTCTCTCCCTCCTTCTCTCCCTCTCTCTCTCTCATGCTTCCCCACACCATCCCCCACCTTCCTTCCCTCAAGGCTTATACCTTTGCGCTCTCTCTCTCTTCTAAGCTCTCAAGGCCCTTCCTTTGCCTGTGCAATTTGTATCCTGAGCCCACACAGCCCCGCTGGCTCACTTTTTGTACCTCTATGATTTTCTAAATAAACTTTCACCTGTATTTGGAAAGAAAATATTATACTGAAGTTTATTACACTGACCTTTGACTAAAATTAATAACTGTTTCAATAACATTAAATTATGATAACTGGTTATTTTATCATTAGAATTTCATCAGGCTAATTTATCTTGTCTGTAAATAATGTTTAATTTTTTAACTTCATCTTCAGGCAGGTTGAAATTTAGGTGAACAATGAGTAATAGTTTGTCTATCAAAACTGATGTCTTGGTTAATTTAAGTAAGTTTTCTTTTTGGCAAAATCCTCTCTCTGATTCACTTACTTAATTCTTATCTAAAACAGAACCTATATAAGTTACCCGCAAGTTAATACTTAGGCCTCTTCTAGATATATGCTATCAAGCATGATTTCTATAAATATCTGCTTCCTCTCCTGGGTCCAACGTGAGCCCTCTTCCTTCAGTGAATTTCAGGGCACTGTCAAGATCTGGAACTCAGTGATCAATGTCTTCTCTCAAATTTCACGCCTACACTAATGCCGGCCAAAGAAGGGTGCTTAAGTAGACCCACTAAGGAGCAAGAAAAAAAAAATTAAAAACGCTACGCAGATTATTAATCTACAAAAACACAAAATCTGTTTACTAAATAATGCAGAGACAGACAACTGCATCCTCCCCAATATCCACCTATCGCATGTCACACACACTCCTGGCCACATAATGAAGAAGTACGACAGATTACACAGTATCTGTGTAGTACTGTGTAATCAGTATTTCAGAGGGAGAGTAATATTCACCCTCACAGTACTGAGACATTTTGCAATTTCCATGAATCCAAGTGGTTGTATGGTTTATACTATCCCAAATAACCGAATCTTTATATTACGTAGAGTGACCACAGAAATCTTTTATACTTAACACAAGTTCACCCTGATCATGTGGCAAAGCACTGAAATGTTGTTGAATTTAAAGTAACATATTTTCTTTTACAAAAAGATAGGTATTCCAAAATTGATGTCCTTTATTGTAATAAGAAAGGAATTGATAGCTTGATCCTTAGAGGTTTGTTTAATGAACACAATTTGTTGTTTCATGATGGAATATGCTTTAACAAATAAATTAGTAACTGCGTATGAAAAGAAAATGTTCCTATGTGCAAGAACATTTGAAAATAGATATTTTGGAACTATTTCCATTATTTTATTGCCCCCAAAATTGTGCATTATCTAATTTAAAAAAAAATTCTGCATCTGCACACACACACGAACTTAACTGCAGAATTTAACTTAACATTCTTCTGAAGGAAGAATTCTGATGGAATTTAAACCTACTTTTAAAAAATATATAAATGCAACATGTATTTGACAAATATAACTAATATTAGGGATATTAGGGTAAAATTAAGTAATTTACTTAGCTAAGTTTCAACAACAAAAAAAAAACTTTGCTTAATTGAGAATTTTAGAAAACTGTTATCATTTATTAAGAGTACTCAACAGATTTTTAACAAATACGGCAGTCACTAAAACCAGTCTGGAGCACAGACCCGGGCTTTAAGTCGCCATATCTTAAAGTTTGAAGACTCGAATATAATGAAGTATATATTCAGCTGCACTTCTCTTATTAAAAAAAACCTTTAAAAAATATTCTTAAACTGACTTACATGATGATATTGACAGGACCACAGACTGAGAGGGAAATGAGGTGGAAAAAGAATGGCTCTTTAGAGACTGAGGGACAAGGAAGGCCTCTTTTGAAGATCTTATCTAAGAAAGAATGAGATAACTATGCAAAAACCCACGGGAAGAGCAGGCAGGGCAAAGGGAGCACACAAAGACCCTGGGAGAAGGCAAAGCAGCCGGGTGCACTGCGAGCAAAAGGGAAGCGCCGTGGCTGTTGCAGTTCGCTGTGCGCACCGGCGCCCGGTCCCCTGGGAAGCTAACCGGCGACTAAGGAGGGTGCACCCCAGTAAGAACCGTGCTATTTAAAAAGATTATTCCAGTTGCTTGTTCCAGACTTGGAGAATTTACCTGTAGATGGAAGCAGCATTAGCTAGGGAGCCTCTTACATTAGTTTATCAAAAGAAAATGACCAATTTTAATATTAGGTTATTTACAATCCTCCGCGCTGGTCAAAATAACTATATTCATTAAGTAGGATAAATAAATAAGCTCTTAAGTCCGTTTTTTTTTTTTACAATTTTGTGACTGACTAAAATCTACCAGTAAACCGATGAAATCATTTAGAAAATTAGTCATGTCTGAGGCAGTGTTAAGCGGGCAAAAGTCAGGGACGAAGCTCCAACTAAAAAAAACCTAATCACCTTTTGTTAAGGCTGGAAGACATGGGCTTAAAGGTCATAAGTGACATACACAAAGTGCGATTTAAAAAAAAAATTTAAAAAGCCTACCAATTACCGGTAAGGCAGGCAGAATGACTATGGCAACACCGTGCAGAGAATGGCTGTATCAGAATTCCCACTCAGAACTCAAAAAACCACCGTTCACATACTTCTCTCGACTGTTTCCTCTCATCTAGAAAGTAATCAGGGCCACAGAGGGCTCTGTGACAACCACCCGGAGTAAAGGCTCCCGGAGCTGGGGACAGAAAAACCGGTCGCGGCCGGGGTCAAAGGGCGCGCAGGCTGCGATTTCGCCCGACCCCTGGAAGACGGGGGCGCGCTGGCATCTGGAGCCGAGGGCCCCGACGGCGGGGCGCGGGCTGTCTCCTCACCTCGGGATGCGGATGCTGCGGCTCCTCCCCAGCCTCGGACCGCGGCGATTCCTGCCGCGCGGGAATCACGGCCTCGCCGCCAGGCTGTATGTTTTGCTCATCCTCCATGCCGGGTGTCACGAAAAAAAGAGTACAGCCGGAGCCCGACAATCGCTCACTCTCACTCGGTCAAGCTCTAAAACCTCGCCTTTCTCCGTCAAAAAATTACCGGCTCGCGTTCCCGCGGCCTCAGTCACACAAACTGGAGCAGACACCTCCCACTTCCGGGAGCGTGTGGCGTCCACACGCCGCGCAGGCGCAGTCAGTCAAAGCGCACGGAACGCCAAAGCTTGTACCGACGCTGGCGGGAGGAAGAAGGGAGGGAGGTGCCCGCGGGTGAAAAATAGGCTGACCAATCCCTACGCGGAGGCGGCGCGGGTTTCCATTGAAGTTACTCAGGAGTCTAGACTCCAGTCTTTAGAGGGTAACACCCGAATAAATGATCCCATTGACGTTTTCTGAGAAGGAAAACGAGGAGTACCACATTAAGAAATGAATTTTAACCATAGCAAATAACAAAACAATCAAGACATCCTCTGCTGGACAAGAAGGAAAAATGAGTCTGTGGGTCTGGACTTACTAAAAACTGAGCATAACTTGTGAAACTGTTTTCAGACCATGGATAATTGGCAGTTCTGGACTGTTGTACCTGCCAGAAAAGAAACAAGATGACCCCTCTTCATCCTGGCTTTCCGCCTAGAAGTAATTTCCAGTCTGAGGTACAGGGAAGAGGAACTCAGAGACCGAGGGAAACTGAGAAGAAAGGTGTCATTGAGTTTTGAAGGCTGGGATTGAAGTTTAGGGGGTTTGTGGAGGCCAAGTTGGTTGGGCTTTATGAGGCGGAATTCATGACTAAAGAGCTTCAGAAATCCACCTAGGAGTACCCTTGAATCTTTAGCAGAATAAAGATCAGTGCATATGTCATTGGAAACAACACAAGGCCTGGAAAGAACAGTTATTGGGGAACAGTAAGCCAAACAATTCTCGGAGCTCACCCAAGACTAGGAATTGAGTTCCTGCAGCCAGAGTGGAGAGAATACTATTGAATACGTCTAATTCCCTCTAAAAGGCTACGACAAGATGCAGGACTCAACAACATTAAATTCAATATATTATGCATCCAGTCAAAAATAATAGACATGCCAAGGAATAGGAAGATAAATTATACAATTGATAGAAACATCCAGAAAGGACAATAATGATGGCATTAATAGGTACTTAAGGCTTAAGGACTTAAAGATAGCAGGAGAGAAACTGAAGAGATTTTTAAAAATAAAAAGCAAGAAGAATTTCTGGAAAAGAAGAATGTAATAGCTGAAATTTTAAGAATCTCTGGATGTGATTGATAGCACTTCAGAAAAAATAATGATTTTTTAGACATAGGAATAGAAAACATCCAAAATATAGCACACAGAGAGAAAATAGATGGGGGGGGGGGGATGACACAGTCTCAGTGACATATAAGGCAATATAAAAAAGGCTAATTGCAGCCCCCAAAATGGGATGAAAGTGAAGAAAAAAAAATTTGAAGAAGTAATTAACAAAAGTGTTCCAAACTTAATGAAACGTGTAAACTACAGATCCAAGAAAGTCAAAGAAGCGCCAGTAGGATACATGTAAAGGAAACAGCAGGCCAAGTCATAATCACACTAGTGAAAAACAGTGATAAAATCTTGAAAGCTGCTAGAGAAAAAAAGGTACTTTATATACAGAAAACCAAGAATAAGAAATTTTATAGACTTCTCATTAGAAACTACAAGTCAAAAGAACACGAAATGACAACTTTAAAAATTCAAAAACAAACAAAAAAAAAGCCTGTCAACATGGAATTCTATACTTAGCAGGTTGAGACAGGCTTTTTCAGACAAACAAGCCTAGGAAAGCCACATCCTGAAGTAGAGTCATCCCAGCAGACTTGCAGACCTATGAAGAGGAAAAATAAATACTTATTGTAGCCACTGGGATGATTAGTTATTGACCATTATTATTTAAAAAAATGAATACAGGATCACTTCAAGCTATATGGTAATTTCCTAATAGAGAATGGGACACAAGTGGAAATCTCCCATAGATGGTTTACTTCTAATATCACCTGTTTCTTCCTAAGTGGACTGTATTTTTTTTACCTTATAACAGCAGACTAACCTTGTGTTTATAAACTAAGGTTTATAGGCTCAGAAGTTATAAAGACTTCTAAGATACAACTCCTGAACTAATAATCTTTTTTTGGCTTTATTAAATAAATAAATAAATAAATAAAGCAAGCAAGCAAGCCTAACACACAACTGCAGAGAAATTAATGACAACTGTTAATCTTATTTTTCTTTTCCCCGGAATATATCTCTTTTCTCTAAAAGAAGAAAAAAAGATGACCCAGTGAATGTTATCAGGACATTTGAGCAAAGATCTGAAGGAGGTGAAAGAGCAAACTGTGAGGATATCTAGGGGAAGAGAATTTCAGCCAGAGCAAGCAACAAGTGGAAAAAGCCCTGAGCTGAGAATGTGCCTGAAATGTCCAAGAAATACCGCAATATCCGAAACAGATGCTCCTTGACTTAAGATGGGGTTAGGTCCTGAAAAACTTACGAAGTTGAAAATACTGTAAATTGAAATGCATTTAATATGATGTTGTAGTGTATTCGTTGTTTACCCTAGTGATCATGTGTGGCTGAGCAGGAACTATGGCACGTTGTCACTGCCCAGCATGAGGAGATAGTATCCTACTACATATCGCTAGCCTGGGAAAAAATCAAATTCAAAATTTGCAGTATAGTTTCTATTGAATGAGAATCACTTTCACACCATCGTAAAGTTGAAAAATCGTAAGTGGAACCATCCTAAGTCATACTGTCTGTATTTTCCTTTGATTGTGTGATAGCAGCATTCAGGGGACCCAAATGTTTTTATGTGTTGACTGTGCTGTTACTTTCCGTATACCACCAAGGGAGAAATCCCAATGACACCAGTGGTGCCTTGTGCCTGGGAAAATATGTGCCCTAGTTAAACAGCTGAATGGGGAAATCCCCCCTAAATGTTTCGGGCATGGCACAAACCTAAAAAAGAGAGGTTCAGAACTGGTTATTCTCTTTAACTGCAGTTGAATTTTGTATTATCCACTCTGTCTTTTCTATTTTCAATCTTTTCCTTGCAAATGGACCTTTTCTTTCTGTATTTAAACAGGCTTTACTAAAAAATGTCCAGCTTAACAAGACAAACCAAACCAAACACCCCCCTCAACCTCAGAAACCCTGCAGCTACTTCTCTCTCCCCCCCCCCACCCACTTATGGAGATAAACCTCTTGAAAGAAGTGCCTGTTTTCTCACACCATCCATTCGCTATGGAACCTACCCTAATTTGGATTCCACCCCCACAGCCCAGGGCTTTTACTTCTCCATTGAAGTCACCAATTATCTCCATGTAGTTAAACCCAGTAGGCTCTTGTCAGAGTTCATTCTAGGTGACCTTTCAACAGCATCCAACATTGTTGGCCATTCTTTATTTACTGAAACACTGTCTTACTTTGGTCTCCATGACAACACAGTTCCCTGGCTTCCTTCCTATCTCTCTGGCCATTTCTTCTCAATCTCCCTGGTCAGTTCCCCCTCTTATATTCGTATAATATAGGGATGCCTTCAGAGCTGGATATTAGACCTTCTTCTATATTATATTCTTTTCTCAGTATAGACTTTCACCCTATATGTTCTTATCCATTCTTGGTATGTTCACTGACCAAGAATTGAACCCACAACCTTTTGGTGTACAGAACAATTCTCCAGCCAACTAAGCCACACAAGTCAGGGCTCCACCCAAGATCTTAATTCTGAGCACCATATCCATACATCTAATTGCTTACTTACACACACCTCAAACTCAGCATATCAAAAAGTGAACTCACCTTCCCACCATACCCAGTTCTCTGTTGTTTCTTTTCTCAGCAAGTGATTCTACAATCTGCACAGTTGAGTGGCCAGAAATGTGGGATTCATTTTTGATTTGTCATCTTCTTTACCTTCCTTAATCAAGATGACTGCAATGCTCAAAATAATCTGGCTTGTGTTTATCTCTCCAGGTTTAGGATGAAATACCTTCTATTTCCTTCCATAGTAACTTCTATCAGTACCTCAACATCCTATGCTGGTTCTTATGCTGGGGTTTTCGCAGGCTAATTTCTGTGATTCTTTAGATTACAGATTAAACTTTACTTCTCCAGAATGTTCCCCCAAATCTACAGATTTTGTTAGATTCTGCACTTTATGAGAACCACTTTTATTCTTGGTATGGTTTTTTTTTTAGAATAAAGATTGAACTGTGTAATAAAAAAGACCTTAAATGTCAGTGGTTTAAATGACATAGAAGTTTATATCTCTTGGAAGTTAAAGCTTGGCTCCATAAGGCAAAGACTCCAAGGGCCCAGGGTCCTTCTATCTTGTTGCTACACCATTCCTAGTTTGTTGTTCTCACCCCCATGTTCCAGACAGTGCAGCGTTCTGTGTGTTGTCCAGCCAGTGGAGAGAGGGAGAAATTGAAAGGGAGAATGTGCATTTCCTTTTACGGTCACACCCGAAGGCATGCACATTATTTATGCTTCTATTCACATAACCACACACTAGTTGCAAAAGAGGTTGGGGGAAATGTTGTCATAGTTCTGTGAACAGTTAACTACAAACAGTTGAAAGTCTGCTGTTGCAGAAAAAGAGAAGATCAAATGTTCAGACTATGAACAGCCTCTGCCACAATCTTGGTGAACACATGTATTCATGCACACCCTTATTCTTGCACATCCTTGTTCTTGCACATCCTTATTCCTGCACATCATGTACACTCCTTCCTTCCCCAATGAAGACAAACTCCAGATCCCATTCAGCTAGGGCTTTTAGCTCAATGCCTACACTCTCTGGTTGATGTTCAGTCCTCTCCATCAGGCCCAAATAGGGGCTCTTCTTGATCCAGTCACTAGTAAACCAAAAGACAAGTCATCCTCTCTGACCGCACCCAATGTAAAATACTATTGAGCAGCAATAGGATATCTGGAACAGAATGATTATTTGGAAAAAAAATTAAGAAGAAAATTGGAAAACATAGGCTGTCACTGAGCCACAGAAATGACCAGTTCCTGCTGAGCAGGGACTGAAAAGACTCTGGACCCAGATTAATTAAACTCATGTGATGAGTACTGTTTCTGCTGGCAGGGGGTTGCAGAGGGAA